AACTATTTGTCAAATTTGCAAAATGTCCCTTCTGTTACATTGGAATTTTTTGAAGTTAATAAAAATATATGGCAATTTAACAAGTCTTATAATAATTTATTTTACCTTGAAATGTGATAATTAAAAAAAAAAATTACAAATAATGTTTAGGATGTTCCAAATCACAGAATATATCGGAAGTAACAGTGCATGTCAAAAATGTGGGATTTTCTTTGTCCCCTCAGTTACGGACGCTTTTAATTCCCTGTCAATTAAATTATGAGGCTCTTTTATTATTTTATGCAATTAAATTAAACATTGCACCTTAAAGTAGCATATTATTGCACAATTTTTCGTTTTCACATATATTTAATAAATTTTTTTAGGATAAAATACCTGTGTGATTTCCCCTCTGTTACGCTTGGAGTTCTGCGACAACCTAGTTGCGCTTAAAAATTTAGACTTAAGGAACATGGTAGATGTGTCCGCTACCAAGAATATGAAAAATCATCAATTAATTTCAACAATATCAAAATTATTTTAACCCCAGTCACATCAGCTCATCTTGACACCCTTGAATCTTGTTTCATTCATATGAATGCTGATTTCCTTGTTAGCGACATTAGTTCCACACAACTTCTCCATAGCGCGTGGAAATGCATCTTACCCTGATTCACCCCTCCCAGCCACTGTGGTTTTTCTCGTTCTGTTTTTCAACTTTTTACTCTCGCAGCTTTTGTGATTATTTTCTAGTTTTGTTTCTCATCTGAATTTTCCCATTTTCGTAGGCAACTGTTTGTTTTATATCTAAAATCTGTTTCGTTCCTTTAAGTATGGCAAGTCTTGCAGATGGGCTCCTGTTTTTAAGCGCTTGAAACATGGCGACTATTAAACTGCTGTTTGTAGAAAATGCAACACCGTGAAGGAATCATCAGAATCAAATGAAATTCGCAGCAAATGTCAATTATAGGATATTATGCAAATTAATAAAGTTTCAGAGCCATCGCGCGTGCGTGGCGCGCGCAGCGCCCTCTGAATTGATGCTGAAAGCGTATAAATAAAGTGCTGTAGCGGGACGTTGAAAATAGTCTATGATTATTTGTTAGTGGCAAACGTTTAGTGAGACCTGAGTATGCCTCCACGACGGAAGAATAAGAAATTCAAGCAACTTACGGAGTTTGAACGAGGGAGGATAATCGGCCTTCGAGAAGGAGGATTTTCCTATCGCGCAATAGCAGCTCGTATGCAGCGGAACAGTTCCACAGTGATGCGAGTTTGGAAGCAGTGGACCGACGAGCACCGAACAACTCGAAAAACAGGCACTGGACGACAGAAGGTGACGTCAGAGCGCGATGATCGACACCTGCTCCGCATGGCGGTGAATGATCGCACAGCTTCCTCCAGGCAGCTGGCAGCACATTGGTCTACTGCTACAGGTGTACAATTGTCGGCTTCGTCAATTCGTCGTCGTCTGCTGCGCCGTGGATTGCGTGCAAGGGTGCCATTATACAGGATTCCCCTCACGGCGGATCATCGACGGCTGCGTCGGCAGTGGGCTCTTGAGCACAGAGACTGGCGAGCTGATTGGCACCAAGTTGTCTTTTCAGATGAATCACGCTTCAATTTGTGGACCCATGATGGCCGTGTTCGTGTTAGACGTTATGCCGGTCAACGCTGCCTTCCTGAGTGTATTATTGAACGACATAGTGGTCGAACACCCGGAGTTATGGTCTGGGGTGCGATTTCGTATCATGGACGATCCAATTTGATACGAATTGAGGGTAATCTCAATAGCAACAGATACGTCCGTGAAGTGCTACAGCCCGAAGTCGTTCCTTTCCTTCAAGGCATCCCTGGAGCTATCTTTCAGCAGGATAATGCACGCCCACATGTTGCGCGGACTGTTAGAGACTTCTGTTCAGCACAACGCATGCAACTTCTTCCTTGGCCTGCTTATTCGCCGGATATGTCGCCTATTGAGCACGTGTGGGATATGGTTGGTCGGCGTCTCACTCGTGATCCGCGTCCTGCAGTTTCCAAAGACGAACTTTGGTTGCGCATACAAGCGATATGGAATTCTCTTCCTCAAGCAGATATTCAACATCTGTTTGACTCCATGCCACGTCGTATAGCAGCACTTATTGCAGCGCGTGGTGGCTGCACCAAATACTGATTTCGGACGCTTAATTTGTTTCTTTTGTTTTGAAAATTTCATCATTTATTTGTATCAGTACAAGTCGTTTCTGCATTAAATTTCATTTGATTCTGATGATTCTTTCATGGTGTTGCATTTTCTACAAACAGCAGTTTATTTCATATTTATATATTTTTGTAGCGAATGAAGTTTTTATTCAAGTAAAATATATGGCATTTAAACTATTTATTTGGTAGTTTTTCCATTCATATGGTAACAGTTTAACAAAAGTTTGGATTTTCAAAACACTTTTCACACTTTTGGTAAAAATGTAAAACTGAAAAGAAAATTTAACTAAATAAATGATTTTTATTCTATACTCTGAGGTAACATGATAAAATTACCAAATTTTAACACATTTACCAAAAATTTCATAATTTATTATAAAATTGTATTTAATTGTTAATTTTACCAAATCGCTTCGGTAAAAATCACCGAGCTTCTTTGTGTTCCGATAGCACCAAAAATATAGTGATCTTAACCATATTCTGGTAGTTTTGGCCACATTTTTCCATTAATAAGCCGAATTTGTTACATTCTAGAATAAAGAACTTTTTTTCTGTAATTTTATTTTTTAAATAATAAAAAGAGTTTTTATTCTTGTCTGATTAAGCTTTTACTAAAATATAATGTGCAAATACAAAAATTCTTTCTTACGTCATTTGTTTTCATATCTCTCCTTTTTGTTTTAAAAAATTACACTCATCGAACACAAAAAACTCAGATAACGAAACTGATGACCATTATTCAACTTCTTTGACATAAATATAGTAAGTTTCAACATCCAATTTACAAACTTTCGTTCGTAAAAGATAAGCTATCGTTCATCACCTCTCTTATACGAACTTTAATTCAAGAAAAGACAATGTTATCTTTTCCTTTTAAGTAGTTGACAATAAAAATGACTTTTCACTTTGTGAGTGAAGCAGTAGAGGGTAAGCCTTGTCGTCAGAAAATTTAATTTCCCATGCCTGCTCGCGCTTTTCATTAAATCGCTGCTATCAATTCAGGAATCCTTGGAAAGAATTTATTTGGAGCGTGAAAAATACTTTATTCTAGTTTGGGTATGACAGAAGATTTTTATACCCCCAAGGAAAGTTTATATTAAATTATAAGTATAGGTATGCACAAAATGAATCTTTAACGAGGCCTGGTATGTTACGGATTGATTTAACCCATAAGGGAAAAGATAAAAATTTTTTCCCTATTTTTCTCCAGTTTTGTAAGCAAGAACTTTCTTGAAAAGTAAACATATTAGTCCCATGTAGAATGATAAGTTAATTAAACGTAAAGTTTTGGGAAATTGGTACGCTTTAAATGTAAATTTTACTTAATATTGTCGGAATGATATTACCATTGATATAGTTGGTAAAGTAGCTTTGGTACATTTTGCGTAATATTAACGGAATGGATTTTACCAAATATCTTCCGTAAGATTGCTTTCCGTAAGATTGCTACCTTTACCTTCGATAAGATTGCTTTCCGTAAGATTGCTACCTTTACTTTCGGTAAGATTGTTTTCCGTAAGATTGCTACCTTTACCTTCGGTTAGATTGCTTTCCGTAAGATTTCTATCTTTACCTTCGGTAAGATTGCTTTCCGTAAGATTGCTACCTTTACCTTCGGTAAGATTGCTTTTCGTAAGATTGCTACCTTTAACCTTCGATAAGATTGCTTTCCGTAAGATTGCTACCTTTACCTTCGGTAAGATTGCTACCTTTACCTTCGGTAAGACTGCTTTCCGTAAGATTGCTACCTTTACCTTCGGTAAGATTGCTTTCCATAAGATTGTTACCTTTACCTTCGGTGAGATTGCTTTCCGTAAGATTGCTACCTTTACCTTCGGTAAGATTTGTTTTTCGTAAGATTGCTACCTTTACCTTCAGTGAGATTGTTTTCCGTAAGATTGCTACCTTTACCTTCAGTAAGATTGCTTTCGTATATTTTACGAAAGATTGACGAAAGAAAATTTACTATTTAGATTTAGTAAAAATAATTTTGTACATTTTACGTATTATTGACGAAGCAAGTTTACAGTTTAAATTTCGGTAAATTTCGGTTTGAATTTATTTGCGCAAATTTTTTGTTTTTTCGATAACCACTTTTTTTGCATAATTTGACGTTTCAAACTTTTGACGTATTGTAGATGTAAATATTATGCAAAAATAACGTAGCCTTTCTTAACTTGTAAAAAGTGGTTAGTAAAACATACGTAAAAGAAACAATACTAATGTATGATTAGTGTGGTATACTAATCATACATTAGTATAATTAGTATACCATACTAATCATACATGATACTATACTAATCATACTATCATATATAATAATATTATCATACATGGTATTTACACATCGTATATACTAGTATGCACATTAGTATGATTAGTATTGTATTGTACTAGACTTAACTGTTGTTGTTGTTACTTATTCCACTCGGCCCAGAACAAGGCTAGACCAAGACCAGAAGACCGTTCACCGACAGAAAATCATATACCATCGCCGGACCTTCCAAGATAAAATTCTTCTCTAGCCCCATACAGGACAGCAAATGGTCAGGTGTACCCTGGTGCACATTACATTTTAGGCACATAGGGTAAGTCTTTTTTTTTTATTTTTTATTTTTAAATTTCTGTTGCATTTTATTTACTCTCGATGTTTTGTTTAGTGAAATTCTGTTCACACTAGATCACGTTTAGGCAAGATTCTGCTCACGCGAGTTCATTGGTTGCATGGAAATTTCACCATGAATCCCGTGATATGCAAGCATCCAAGCAATATTTGATCAGGCACCGTTATGCGTTGAATAATTTGTTTTCATACTTACTTTATGCATCGGTGTGCCCCAAAAATCATTGAAAAGTAGATTAGATAGAGCTGTCTTGGGTCTGAGATCCATGTTTTCGACGATAGCTGGTCGATCATCGAAGACTAAACCACAGTTTAAACTATTTGCGTAGCACATGAAGGAAGAAATGGCGATAATTGCAGGTATGATGTAATTGGTATCCTTCTGAAAAAAACAAACAACGTCTTATTTTTAAACAGAATTAGTTTTTTCCAACATTATTTATGAAAAAATGTCAGATTTTATTATAATTATTATTAATTTTATTATATTTCTTAGCATATTTGCAAGTTTAAATTCACATAATTAACTATGAAATTTGAAATGTTGCATGGTTTTGTTTAATCGAGTTAATATTAGTAAAGAACTATAGGCAATGCTGTAAAGTATTGTCCATTGCACCAAATTAAAATAACCAATGTTTTTTTCGATTCAGTAGGAATTAAGTAACCGATACTTAATGTTGTATCATAATAAAGTTTAGAAAATTTTTTAAAAGCAAAAGCGAAATTTAGTTTGACTTTTTCTCACGTTCACTATCACACACTACAAAATAACAAGGAGCATGCGCAGCTTTGTGGTGTCTGTGCATCGAGGACAAGCACAGTCGCTTTGAAACATACCATACGAACGTTAAGGCGAGGCATTGCTAAATCTCTCTAATGTTTTAAAACCAATAGTATTTGAAATGATTATGTTTCAAGATCTAATGACAATTATTCAATTAAGTTAACACGGTTCCAACCACAATTGTTTAAGAATTGTTGAACAGATGTAATATTTCGAAACAGATCAAAAAATGGCAGAAACTAAATATTTCAACACTAGTTCGAAATATTTTAATAAAACTTTCCTTAAGGAAGTATCGGTTTAAAAATGAAGCAGTTAAAAAATTTTAAATCTCGCCTTTTCTTTCAATATGTAGTGTGACAAAAATGTCACAATTTATTGTATCATTTGTGTAACACAAATTGAATCAACCCTTTGACGCAAATGCGACACCGGTGTCCCTTATATATATATTTTTTCTCTAATTACAAGCAGAAAGATATTTTAGCATTTTTTTAATGAAAAATGGTCAAATAGTTGCTGAAAATATGTAAGATTATCGGAATTATATTTGTAATAAAATATAAAATCCAAAAAAAGTAGTTTGAAACTTTTTTTTAAATTCATGTCAAAAAAATATCGATAATTAATTTGATAATTCAATTGAACTAAAGAAATTGCAATGATGAATAACTATTTCTCTTAGATGTAAATATGTGCAAATCTGAAAAATTATTGTTCGGAAGATTTTACTTTTAACGCAGAAAAAGACAACGATTTTATGCTGTACTTCATAACTAGAAATTATTAAAATGCTAAATATCATATTTTTTACTTATTTAGATTCAACTTAATGAAAATATTGAAAAAAGTATTAAAAAAATGTTTAATAAAAATTCTGCTTGAAGGGGTTAGATGTGCTTTATGTACTGTGGGCCAGAAGACTGTGATTTGGCCAAAAGTAAAAAATTAATTTTTCAACTAAAATATGTGTAGGTAGTTTTAATATATCCTAAATTAAGTATTCATAATCATTCCAAACATTATAATTTACTTTTTGGACCGACGAGAGTACAATTTAATGAAAAATATGTTACAAAAATTGTTTTAAAAGTAACTTTTAAATTTTTATTTCAGAAATATATATAATAATTTCACCTTACTGTTAGATTTTCATCAGAGTAATTGGTGGTAAATTATAGTACAGTTTTTCAATTTGTTGGATTAGTTAACTCTTGACAAACTTATAGTTTATGTCTTTTCATTTGACATTTTACAATGTTTGAATGACTTTCGAAAATTAGTTCCAAAAAGTTTTTCGAGGTAATTAGCTAAGCTTTTTGTTGTTGTCTCCTTTGATGTTTCTTCTTTCGAAAAAACCTGCCCCATTTTGCCCGTATTGCAAAGGTGGACTAAATATACCAAAAAACTAAAATTATGTTTTTTTTTTATGTTTTCGAGTTATTTTGTAATTAATTCACGTTATTTTGCAATATTACTTCGAAAATATATTTTTGCTTTCCATTTTTAATGTAAAATTACGAAAATTATTATATTTTCATTGCTATATTTAATAATTTAAACGTACTATATTATTATTTTTATTTTTGCTTGCCATATTTCAGCCGCCATTTTGTTTTTTTGGGTATTTTTAATGTATTTCAAAATTTCAACTATGAATTCAATTTATCATCACATAAAAACCTCTAAATAAAAATTTTGAAACAAATTTTATCGAAATACTAATTTTGGCCACGAAACCTTAGATGCTGGCTCATTGTGCACTGAGGTATTGAAAATTTTCAGTCAGTAAAAATAAGAACAATATAACTGTTCCCTTCAAAATATATTGCGACAAAAATTTTGCCATTTATTTCCAGAATCTCTACATTTTATCACTGGAAATGTTCTAGAATTGATAGATATAATCAACGAATCATATATCAATTCTATCTCCAGGGATTAATTTCTCATCAGCGAGATCCCATTAGAAAAAAAAGGATAAGTTGGATATAATCAACTAATAGTTAACACTTTCCCGAATTTCCGGCATGTCACTTATCACCGGATCTAAATCTCGATTAAAGAAGCTAATTCCAGGTAGGAAAAAGAATTCCCAAAAAGAAGGAAAGACGGAAGAAGCTAGACGTCCTGGCGATCAGTAATCTCTTTTAGATCTTCTTTCAACAGGGAGTAGTGACGCGAGGGGATGGGTACGAACCCAGAACTTCGTTAAGATCCGAACGGGTAAGCGGAATCACATTTTTGCCTTGATAGCCATTTCTTTTTTGCCCATGCAGTTCACGTCTTCCCACTTCCTGAGGAAGAATGACTTTAGATAGACGTTGAGAAAAGGGGAAACTTGGTAAAAAGTTTCGTTTTATTTGAATATTCCTATGTATTTTTCTTTTTTTATTTGCGTGAGAAGTTTTACACCTGAGAAAAAGTTTCGGAAACTTCTTGCGTTCCATCGTTTCGTTAAGCGATTAGGAAGGAACACGAAATTCTTGAAAAGCTTTCAGGAATATTGGCGAGAGAGTCGATTGGAATATTTTTCGGAAAAGCTTGTTGTCGTTAGCAGCGTAAAAAGCACCGTTAAGGTTTGAGATAGAATTCAGTAACTGGCTGCATAATTTAAAAATGTTTTTGGTTGCTTTTTAAGGGATGTTGCAAAAAGTAAAATTTTTTAACTCTTTAATGTTAAATATATACATAACATTAAATAAGACTTTCTGAAACAAATGCAGTCGGGCTTGTATTTTGAGAACTTCTTCATGACAGAACTTCAAAATCGAGTGTTCTCGTTTTAGCGAGCTTTTGCTTGTGATCTAATATTTATAAATTAATATTTCTAATAATAAACCGTAATATTTCTAAACATTTCAAGTATGCTCCTATATAAAGTGCAAATTTTATGCTGTTTAGACTTTTTGATGTTTACGATGCACAACGAAAATGAATGTTAATTAAAAAAAAGTTATAAATGATTACTTTTTAAATTACATCCAGTATTTAAAAAGTAATTATTTATGCATATGCATACTCGCAAACAAATACAAATCTTTTTTTCCATCATTTAACAGATTATTCATCTGCAAAAAGTTTCCGGGCCATTCTTCATCTATCATCTTCAGCATCTTTCATATAAATATGCATCTATCATTTAAGATCATCGCATCTTCCTCTTGGGATTAATGGAGCTGTATCCATTTCATCTCCATTTGAAAGTGGGTGTGTCCAGTTATCTACAATATACCCCATGGTCCACTTATTGAACTAGTATAGTATCAAAATAAAACATCAGGAAACCATTTGGCGCCACCTGGTCACACATGCAATGAAATATTAGATGAGGCCTAGGTAGCTGTGGAATTTATGATCTTCTCATTAGTTTAAAGCTTAAGCTGTCTTTAATAAATCCCTTGTCTCACATTTTAAGAGTGAAATTCCCTAAATATTTGATGATTAATTACTGGAATCAAAGTGAACGTTCAAGCTATTAGGGACAGATGGTAAGATGATCACTCACTATAAGGCGAGAGGGATTTGTTGAAGGAATCTAGGGAATTTTTAGGGATTTCTCTTTCTGATTTAGCTGAATAGTTAGGTATGGTTTGAAAATATTTTAACGAAACTATTAAAAATGCATAAAAAAAGATGGATCTAGTGTTTAATAAATGCAATGATTAGGAAGATAAAGGAAATAATATTTGCCGTCGTTTTTGTTTCTTTGATATAGTTTTTGTCTCTTCTGTACTATACGTTTTTTTAATGTAAATATAGGAAAAAAATTGTTTTTCAAGGTCACTCAAATGAATCATATGATCCTAAATGATTTCTATGCTCCCCTCTTTTCTTTTTTGATTTCTTGTAAAAAAGTATACTGAAAATAAACATTGAATTTGAAAACGAAATAAAAAAGATAAAAAAAATATTTGAAAAAAAAAAATTGCAACTAAAGAAGAAGATGACTGTTACTGATGTCATTTTTGTGCCCGAAAAATAAAAATACAAGTATATAAAAACTATTTCTTTATTTGTTATTTAAAAAACGCAATTGTATAATTTTTTCCTCTATTTTTTCCTTTTGTTTACCACCTGTGAAAGAAAATTACAAGTACATAAAAATGATTTATTTTTAGTTGAACTTTGAAACTTGTTTTCTAATTTTTGTTTTTCTGTACTTTGACTTTTTATCCCTTGAAAATTAAAATTACAAATATATAATTAACATTTATTTATAGTTAATGCTTGAAGCTTCCTTTTTCTAATTTTTTTTTTATTTTTTGACTTTTCGTCTTTTGTTTACTACTTTAAAAGCGAAATTACAAATAAATACAAATTATTTATTTATTTATTTAAAGTATACTCCGCATATCAATTTTTGTTTTTCTACTTTTGTGACTATTGTTTACCACTTACAAAAGAAAATTATAAGTACATAAAAATGATTTATTTTTAGTTAAATTTTGAAACTTGTTTTCTAATTTTTGTTTTTTTGCTTTTTGACTTTTTATCCCTTGAAAATTAAAATTACAAATATATAATTAACGTTTATTTATAGTTAATGTTTAAAGCTTCCTTTTTCTAATTTTTTTTTATTTTTTGACTTTTCG